TCTGAAGGGGTGTAATTTAAAAAAAATTCTGGGGCGGTTACGGTTAGACCCCCTCCTGTACACGCCCCTGCCGAGCAAATTGCCAACATTGAAAAACGAACCCCCCCCCCCAATATAAAGCTGGCTACGGGCCTGTACTAATTACTGTTCACCCATGTACATGTGTGTTTAATTAGGTATATATTACGTTTCCAGTCGCCTGCTAACAGCGTCATAACAGTCCGACTGACGAGTATCAGCACAGCCTATTACGTGGATAGCGACGGAAACCCGCTTCCGCTGAAGGGATGTCCAGATCACCTGGAGGTCCGAACGAACACAGAGATTATCGGTCGCAGGTATTCATATAATATATATATACCATCGTCGTCACGGGGTTCTCAGTAAATTCAATAGGACTGTGTCATCCTGGCGTGTTGTAGAGACGGCAATATTTCCAAGTATTATTGTTATTGTTATTCATATTATTTACATGGGAGTGGATCACGGCATTAGCCGGTGGCTTCTGGGTTGGCCGTATCCCAACCTGGATCAGAACAGATTGAATCCTGAATACTATTATAATAACATTTTTATATTCATTAATTATTATATCATAAAATTTGAAGATTTTAACAAAAATATTATAAATATTTGTATGGATTTAAAAATTAGTATGGTTATTATTATTATTATGATGATGATGATGGTGATTATTATTGTTAATTTGTTATTAATATTAATATTATATTATTTCCAAAGTGGATCACGTCATTAGCCGGTGGCTTCTGGGTTGACCGTGTCCCAACCTGGGACATAGGAATTCAATCCAGAATTTTTCGCAGGATGTGTGCTGTTCCCAGTAGTGTGATTTTCTGCACTTGTTGGGCAGTGTGGTGGCCAGGGAGGTCCTTAAGGTTCTTCTCAAGACCATTCTTTATAGAGCCAATTGGGCTCTAACCACCACTAGCTGGCACAGTTCTTGTCATAGTATTCCGCATCCTGCTAATTACGATCTCATTATTATTATTATTATTATTATTAGTATTATTATATTATATAATAATAATAATAATAATCAAGAGGAACCTAGGAATGGCATGGATTGATGATAAGAAAGCCTTCGACAGAGTCCCACATTCCTGGATTCTCGCAGTCATGAGAATCTACCGTGTGTCACCAACTATCATTCAGTTCATGGAAGCTACAATGATGAAATGGAAGACTGAAATGCTCCTCTTCTCTCAATGAGGCTGCCTCAGGACAGAAGATATCTCAATCAAGAGAGGAATCTTCCAGGGTGACTCGCCCTCTCCCCTGCTATTCTGCATAGCACTAACACCGCTTACCAACATGCTGAATAGACAGGGTCTGGGATTTACAGTCGATAAACACAACACCATCAGCCACCTGCTCTATATGGATGACCTTAAACTGTTCACCAAGAACGATTATGAGCTGGAGCAGGACTTGGTAACAGTCAAAGCATTCAGTGAGGACATCAAAATGGAATTCGGCTTAGAAAAGTGTCAACCGCAATCTTAAAAGGTGGTAAGCTAGTAAAAAGTCTAAATATCGAGCTTGATGACAAGACGGCCCTACGAAGTCTGAATCATGAGGACACCTACATATCTTGTGTAGACGAAAGGGATGGTATTCAGCATGCAAAGGTGAAGGAGAACATTGCTAAGGAGTACTATCGCCGAGTTCGCCTAGTTCTCAAGTCTGAGCTCTGTTCAAAAAACAAGATAACAGCGATCAATAGCCTGTCACTCCCGGTCCCCGTGTACAGCTTCGGGGTGATCAACTGGTTGCAATCGTATATCGAAAGGATGGATCGCAAGACAAGAAAGCTACTAACCATGCACGGGCTCCATCACCCAAAAGCAGATGTAGAGCGACTGTACATCAAGAGGCAAAATGGTGGTCGTGGTCTCATTGAACTGATGTCTGCGTACAACACTGCCATTGTAGGTCTAGGCGACTACATCGAGCTTAACGAGGACAAATTTACAAAGCTTGTCAAAATCCATCAGTCTGGAAAATCAAAGCACGCTCTCTTACGTGAGGCTAAAGAAATCAAAGCCAAATACTTGTCACCTCAGCCCACCAGCCAATCCTCAACAAAGCAGAGACTGAAGGCCAATATGGAAGCAGAGAATATCGAGGTATTGAAGAACAAGCCTTGCATGGAAGATTCTACGAGAGCCTCAACAGACCATTTGTCGACAAGATTGCAAGTATATTGCCTGGCTGAGTAGTTCCGGGCTCAAGGGGGAGACAGAAAGCCTGATCATTGCAGCCCAAGACCAAGTACTCGACACCAGATACCATCAACGCAACATCCTCAAGCAACAGGTCAACAGTAAGTGCAGAATATGCAGCAAAGCAAAGGAGACCTTCAGCCACATCATCGCCGGATGCACAGTGCTGGCCCCAACCGAGTACATTGACCGCCATAACAAGGTAGCCAGCTATCTGCACTGGGCAATCTGCAGTGAACTTGGTGAGCTGGTACGTACCTGACAAGTGGTATGAACATACTCCGAGACTCATTCATAATATCATTCTACAGCGTTTGTAAAAATGAGAATATTTTTCACAGTTGATTCTAACGTCACATATATCTTTGTATATAGACAACCTTTTATAAGTAACCATTCGTAAATTATCGCTTCCGAAATTCTGCGGTGCGCCGGAAACAAAACAAAAGCATAACGTCTACACGGTTACAGTTCCAATGAGGAACGAAAAGAAAAATAGTAGTTTAAATATAGGTTAGATAAATTTAAAATATAAAATAAGGTTAAATATAAGTTTAAATATAGGTTAGATATAAGTGCGCAGTGAAACTACATCGAAAATTCGATGACGTTGACGGATTAGCATTTCGTTAGACATGCACGCGTATCTGAGAGAAATTCGAGAGCATTTGCCTGTCACCTCATGATCGCAACCACGTATGCACATCACCACACATAACGATATCTTAACTAAATCCCCGACATTCCATCGCTGAGGAAAACAGTGCTAATAGGATATTTCTGTCTCTCTCCATATTTTTCCTTAGCTGGGTACTGTGGTGCATGAGATTGGTCACGCTTTAGGTTTCTACCACGAGCAGGCGAAACCCACGCGCGACCTATCTGTCACAATACTGTTCGGAAACATCATTGCTGGGACGGAACACAATTTCGTTGCGGCGGCACCGGCGGATGTTTTAGAACCAGGACTGCCGTATGACTATAGAAGTGTAATGCACTATGGACAGTATGTGAGTAGGCTCACGCGTAATATAGGGTATAATAACGTATAGGGCATTGAATTAATCTATGTTTATTTACTCGAACAAAATAAATTATCGACTGTCCATTCTTGATCACAGTTTACGTACACTGTAATCTGCATTCTGTGTCGGGCTTACCGTGCATGTTCTATGTTTTCTTGCACGTATACTGTGACTGTGACGCGCACGCGCACACACATGTATGTGTGTGTGTGCGTGCATGCGTGCGTGTGTGTGTGCGTGCGTGCGTGCGTGCGTGTGTCACTGTGTGTGTCTGTGTTGCAGGCCTTTAGCTCGAACGGGCAGATAACAATCAACGCGCACATTGACCGTGACCTGTTGCTTCAGCGAATAGGTCAACGTGACGGCCTATCCTTCCACGACATCAAGCTCGCTAACATTGTCTACTGTGACGGTATGTGTGTATATCGCGTATCACTACGTACATGATGGATGTTAACGTTGTCTTGTAGCGTGAATGTGAACCCAAATGGAATATATTTATACTATTCGATGATGATAATATGATGATGTGGTTGATATATGATATATGATATATGATATAATGGTATGATAGTAGCAGGAGTGAATAATAATAGATCTATTATTATTCTAATATTAAAGTCTGTTATTATTCACTCCTGATAGTATGATGTTCATACATAATCATATAATGTTACGGTATCAATATTGCTCAGGTGTGCTAAATATACTGTAGCGGTGGATATGCGGTGTTGTCGATGAATACTGGTAGGGTTGCGAGGTACTATCTTAAGTCGATGAATACGTACAGAGTCGATGATGCTGAGGTGCGATAACGATGAGCGAATACGTAGACGTAGACAATGTTTGACAAGTCCAACTGTTACTGATACGCTGAAAGTGACATAGTAGTCGACGGTCACAAACCCGGGCTCTGCTCTCCCGTGTCTGTCCCGCCTAACATTCTCAGCCCCCTTCCTAAAGCTCTCCTCCTTCTCCTCCTCCTCATCCTCCTCATCCTCCTCCTCATCCTCCTCCTCCTCATCCTCCTTCTCGTCCTCCTCCTCATCCTTCTTCTCCTCCTCCTCCTCCTCCTGCTCCTCCTCCTCTGACCTCCACTTCCTGTTATTACTATATTTGTCCTTCCTGTTTTCACTCTATTTGCCGCCATGTCAGGATTTAATCGACCATGCAGCCTCTTCATATCAAGCCTCTACTGCCTAGTTCCACGACTTGCGTCGAGTGTCCAGTGAGCTTTCAGTGTCTATTTTTCAGTCACCTATCTACGTCCTGCCTACCCCGCACGTCCACTGGCGTGTCCGTTCGTTATTACGTACTATTTGTCACGTTTATTTGTCACGCCGCGATATAAAACCGTACTACAATACAAGCCAGGCGTGCTTCGAGTAAGATAGCTTTGAAATTAGTTTAAGATATTTATTTTTGCGTTTTAGGTGTGTGCGCAGGAATTATGAACAACTGTGAGCGAGGAATACAAAATCCGAACGACTGCACTCGCTGTATCTGCCCAGATGACTTCACTTGGCAATTTTGCGAGAACGTTCTGCCACCTACAGGAAGTAGGTGTAGTTAAATTATATGAACACACACACACACATACACAACCAGACACACACACACGAACGCACGCACGCACACACACACGCACGCACGCACGCACACACACACACACACACACACACACACATACATACATATGTACGCAAGGCATGCATGCAGGGCACGCACGCGTGTAAG